GGTATCGAAACCCGGATTCTAGCGTTGTAAATCCACAGACATATCGCTGTGCCACTGGAGGGCTATAATAATAGCATTTATCAGTTGCCATACCAAAAAGTTACGATTTAAGAAATTACTTTTATCATTTTATAAATATCACGGAAATAGACGTTAACTTTTTCTGTACACATAACTGTGCAAAACTGTTAGGACAAGAGGATATTTTGTCATTCTTTCCATTTTATGGGGCTAATTCTTCCATGACATTACAAAATGTAAATTTCAGCACTATAGTAATGCTTCACTGATCCCTGTTTACAATTGAATGAATCCGGGTGAGAATACTTATCATTCTTTAGAATTCCCATATACTTGTACCAATGGCATGTCATAAGGGTTCTGCTTGAATGAATATACTGATCAAATTTAGGGTCTGAAATAACTTTCATTGTGCCCCATGCAGTGTCTTAACTATATGTAAAGAAGCTAGCATATGGTGCCGGTATATACTAGCATAAATCAATTTAATAGCGCTCCACAAATAAACCTTGACAAAAACAGTGTTTAACATTATATGTTAAGTTTTATTGTCATGCCACGCTCCAAAAAGCGTAGAAAAATGTCAGCAGAGCGTTCGCATAAGAGCTTTATGTGATGCTGGTTGGATTCCCAAACTCCGTCAAGTACACCCTAGATCTTGAGACTGAGAAAGGTAAATTTGAAAATAGGAAAGGAAAAGGCAGAACACCTGAACTCAATGATACTGATGTTAATTATCTTTGTTTATGCATACTTTGGGAGAGAAGGAAGACTGCCACTGATCTCAAACATGAGATAAACGACCATGTTCCAAATGACAGAAATGTGTCCGGCGGAAGAGAGTTGAAAGATCCTTCCCTCAATGTACAGCACCTACCATGAAGCACGGAAGAGGTAGTGTGATGATTTGGAGGTGTTTTTCTGCTGAGATGGAATAATGGACCAGCGCAAGTACCAACACATATTTCTCTGTCATGGTATACCTAGTGGTTTGTGTATTATTGGTAAAGGATTCTACTACCAAGAAAATAATGACCCCAAAAACTCATCCAACCTATGCAGAAATTACTTAGCTGGAGTCATTCAAATAATGCAATGGTCCCCACAGAACCCCGATCTCAATCTAATTGAGCAGGTCTGGGATTTGATCGATCAAAAACTTGACAAATCAAAAGTTACTTCCAAAGAAACTTTATTGAAGTGTATTAGATATTTAGAGTAAAATCTCAAAGGATTAAATATGTTGCAACAATGACTGATAGACTGTCTGCAGTTATTAAAACAATAGGAGGACACAAAAAATATTAACTACTTGCTGGACTCAAGCACTTCCACTGAGTTTCTATTGTACTAATTAAGAAGATTAAATAAATTTTAATGTTTCACCTGTGATTTAAATTCCATTGTTCTTTGAAAATAGCCTGAAATCAATTTTTTTGACTTTGTCCTAACACTTTTGCACAGTACTGTATTTATATGCTGATGATACTTTGGCACTAAGTAAAGTCTGTGACATGGGAGTATCGGTTAAAAAGTTTCAAACAGGCTTAATAAATTAAACAAATAGCTGATTAATAATTATATAAACATAATTAACAAAAACTAAAATGGTGGGTATCCATGCACCAGATAGACATATTTCAGGAAATCTGTGAATATATTATCACTTCTTAACATTTTGATAATAGAGCTAATGTAAATTGTCTAACATTTGAAATAATTGATAAAATTAAATAACTGGGTCTAGACAATTAATTCTTTAAGACGGAAAGAGTACGTCTAAATGAATTTTAAAATTAACACATTTAATTATGTATGTAAACAGTTAAGATTTAGTGCTATAATCTTGTCTAACATTAATCTTGTATCTCAATTAAACATGTGTAAATTGGTATACTCAGTATTATATTAGTATTTTTTTTATATGTGTTATTACAAATAACCATAGTTCCTATGATTCTTTCAATATTTCAAATATCGAAAATGTAATAGTTAAATCACATGTTACAAAAAAATAACAAGGAATAGTAGACAGTTACTAAATGCATAGTTTTAGAATTATGGTGTCGTTGCCAATAAATAAGAAGTGTATTTATGTTTGGAGTATTAACAATTATTATAATGATAAATATGAAATACAAATTTATCATCACGTGACTACTGGTATAAAATTGAAATACCCCAATATAAAAATTAATTACAGCAAAATCATAAGACAGTATCAAATATCATGTATTTTCAATGAATTACCTCATGAGTTTATCGAGATAAACAAAATATCTTTAGTAAAAATATGTATCGAAATGAATAGAATAGAAAATATAAGCATAGTATAAAAATTCAAACAATATTCACAACATAATATTAGAAATATTTTAGAGTAATTTCTTATTCTATTAA